CATGATTATCGGCTCCGCTGCAATCTTCACCGCAAATCAAACGAGGGATCCCTGCTTCTACAATGCGGAGGGAGAGGTCGCTTTTCATTTTACAAGAGTGGGAACTTTATCAGATGGACAGCCTCGTAACCCTTGCTTCATGAGTGCTCGACAAGACCGACAGCGTCACTGGTACTGGACCATTGACTGTCTACCCGTGCAGTATTGTATTATGGCGGCACGAGCCATTTGTGGTGGAGGCCAGCTCCCTGCCAGCTCCAGCCTGGTCGTCCGGTTCAAGTAACTGGAAACGAAGACCTTACGCACGCCAAGAAAATTGCGTGCGACCCGCGAGGGGCGTAATTCGGGGGTGCTGCTGGTTCACGACGAAGACCCCACCACGTGCCGCCACTCTCCGAGTCTTTGCCGGAGCATTGCGGGTCGAGACCAGTGTCGAACCCTTGTGCCGCCTACTGGTCACTGTTCCCGTTGCCTTTGAATATTGTATGTTTGTATGTCGCCGGACTCCGAGGAGTCCGAGGAGGTCTTGTGCAGAATGAAGACAGCCTCAAGTTGACATAAACAGCTAACACTGCGCAGACACCTGATTTTGTTCTACAAGCGCCAACTCATGTGGGAACATCGCGACTCGTCAGTATCATCATAAGTCCAGATGACCAGGCAGACGGGCATCAGGGCATCAGGCAACGTGCCGAAAACACCCCATACATCTCCGGGAGCAGCTAGCCAGAGCCTGTGCTTTGAGAGCAGGGAAGATGACATGGTCACCTCGCTCCGACCATAGCGCCGCATTTCCGTTGTTACATAACAATTTTTGCTTCAACAATCGTCCCAAGCCTCTCTCAAAGCACCCGGAAAAGAGGGCAGACCTTAGCAGACCACAAAACGATGATCCGCCCCCAAGGGACGCTCCAGGATGTGTGGCTTTGGCGGCACGGGCGTCCAGTTGGTCTGATGGCACTAGATTCGTGGTCTGATGGGCAGACGCCATTTCAAAATTCAAACGCACACTGTACAGGCAAAGTACTTACTTTCTGTTCAACCCTCCATTTCACTCGCCTCAGACGACTAGCACCTACCTTGTGCATGGGCAGCTCCGTAATCAAGCCGTCCTCGACAAGCTCCTCTCTGTCGCGCTGTGCCGGGCCAGGCGTGAGAAGATAATCATCTCTGCAAGTGTCAGTTGTTGCAACAGACTCAATGGAGACGACAAGACGAAGAAAGCACGAGCATTTGGTGAAGCGATGACCAAGGGGGCACCTTCAAAAATGTTGAAAACAGTGGACAGCAGAAGAACTTGGAGCTCTGCATTTTGATCTTCGCTTGGCCCAAATTCAGACCAGCTCTTGCCAAGTCTATAGAAATCTGCACCCTTGAAGGCCACTTGTATTACGCAGCACCGCCGCAAGAATCATTGATGCCAAGGATTGGTTGCGGGATACAGCAAGCTCTCCAGCCACTCTGCATTGCAATTGAAGGCCAAGAATACACTGCATGTAATACCGCAAAGCGCTCACGACTGTGTTAATTAGGCAGCGTAGTTGGCAACTTTGAGTTGACTCAAGTCTTGAGAAACAAGAAAAAGCAAGGATCTTCAACTTCATATGGATACAACTACTGGCCTGGAAACAACGACGAGCTGGAGACTCTATTAAGCGCCGAAGTCGCTTGGCCAAGGCTTGCCTGATCAGCTGCTGATCTAGGAACTCGAATGCCGATTTTATCCAGCTTGGCATGTACTCCGTATGTCCTGCACCATTAACAGTGTAACTTGTGTCTGCTCTAACTCGCCCGGCTGCTGGACTGACTTGGTTGACAGGGCAGTCTGTCGCAACGGATGCACATTCCTAGTTCTAGGCGCGCGCCCCTTTCGATGAAACTAGTAATTCGAGAGCTGATAGAATCCGCCCCTCACCAGGCAAAACAACGATTGGCCCTGTTGCTCGAAGCTGCACGCTGACGACACAGGATCCAGGCCTAGCTGCGTGCCTGCTGCGTCTCGTCCCGACCATCCGATTTTGGGACAGGCGCATGCCATTATTAGCCGTGACAGTTTATACATGTGCTGAATCTGCTGGAACGACAGCGAGGACCCAGTCGTCATGATGCTCCACCCAGATGAATGGTTCTGCTAATGGTTCACAGTTGCGGCCGCCTGTCGTCCGTCCACTCGAGAACTGGCTTACACAACCAACTTTGGAAGTCAAAGGGTCGACTGCCCACCTCAGATGACATGACATAATGTGGTCAACAGGAAGCCAGGCCTGTGGGAAGGAGATGGCCCGACTGAATGGCTTCTCACGCTGATTGTGCTTTTACATCTGGCTCGTGCAAACCACCTCCTGGCACTAACTTTTGGTCAAACGGCAATCTTGTCGACATGGATAGGAATAGACAAAGGGACCCATTTCGGCGCACGTGGGAGTCGCATTGGAACGCATAAGAAGCTTTATTGAGTACTACTATACAAGTAAGCAATGGGCTTTCCGCCTCCGAGACACACATTACAGGTTATGGTATCTAATAAATAATTGCCAACAAGTACAGAGGAAACACATAATACCGTCACTATTCACGGCACAAGGCACCAGCGCACGAGCTGCATAATGCTACGACATTGAGCCGACCTATGTATCGCATGTCGACCCCAGTTCAATCTTACATAACCTCTCAGGTTCTTGGTCCCTAGTCACTAGGTCTGCGTCTCTGACTGTTAGGTGCACATTCCTGCGCGTGTCAGGGCCGGAGGGCTATTCCACTCGGAGGTTTGGAGTCGGCAATGTCATGAGTGAGCATCGATGTCACGGACCTGGACTGGTAATGACTATGACTCCATGTCCACACATGCACACTCGGTGGTCTTGGTACACTTGGTACAATCGCAACTGCTGCGGTGCTTGCACTGAACAATATGTACAATACAATGCAAAACAATACTGCATGTGCCTACAGCTCAGTCTGGCTGCCATTTGCTGCAACTGGTAGTCAGCCCGGTACCATGCCATCCATGCCAGCATAACATGCATTGAGCCAGGCCCCGAGGTGTGCAAAGGGCAATCAATCACAGCCGGGCCAGTCGTGCTGGCACCTGGGGCCAGTTGAACCCCAGAGGCCCCACTCCCACCGACTCAAGGCGTCCTGGCAAGTTCAATCAATGTTTGGTGTTGGTTCCATCTCCACCCATCGCAGCCGCGGTGTCCCTCCCTCCATCCCACACACCACACACCTCTTGGAGGGCCACTTGGAGGCCAGTTGCAGACAACAGCAGGTTGGACGGGCCACTGGCGACGAACCACCAGACACCGAAGCACACACTCACAGCTCGCAGAAACGGTCAAGTCGGGGTCTGGTTTGGGTTGACTGCGAATGGTATCCGCTTGTTCCCAAGTCCCAAGTCCCACGCCCCAAGCCGACTTGCAGCCGAAAAAGTTTTATTATTATAGATGTATTATCCTCCCCGTCGCCAGCTCACAAACGTACGAACACTGGCCGTGCTCCTTCACTTTGGACGGAGTGCTACTCGGTGTAATTTTGGACTTTCATTGCCTTTTGACTGCCGAGTTGTCCCAGGGACCTCCCAGCGCCTCTGTTGTTGGCCGTCTAAGACGTTGCTTTCATCAACAGCCGAACCACCAGTCAACCAGTCAACCAGTCATTATTCGCTCCTGACCCCTCACTCACTCCGCTCTGCTCTTTACAGTACAGAACGGAGTATTCATAGTTGATTCCGGACAACATCGTTGTGTCCCGCGGAGTCCATACAACAACCGTCTTTGGCCCTGCGGTTCCTCCTCGAAACGGAAGCCCTGTGGGATCCTGGGCTCGGTCGGAGACAAGGAACCTGGGAGGAACTGTGACCCTAGCAGCCTACAATAGGGCCTTCTTTTCGCTGGCAACGCCCGTCTCCGTTTGTCTCCGGTGTCTCCAGTGTCTCCAGCCTCTAGCGTGTACGGAGTAGTCTCCAGTCAGGGTCACGGAGTACCGAGTGCCTGTGGACCTGGTCTGGTGCGCTCGACCCAGTGCCACATCTTTGGGAGGCTTGCCAGTTGACCAGTTGACCAGTTGACCCAGACGCTCACTTGCCTCACTTGGCCCCCGACCCGCCGACAGCCATCCGCCATCCGCCATCCTGAGACACACCAGCGCCCCAGCCAGCCTTGCCCACGCTGCACAGCACCGGCACAGCGCCGGCGCCACAGGACCGCCAGTGGACACGACCACAGGAACCCCAATAGCCGTCACTGACCAGTGACCCTGATTGCATGTCGGGAAGACTACGGTTCGGCTTACTACGCTCAGTGCCACCGTCATCGCTCCCACTCACTCACACAATTGAGCATTCGCGCCCCCTTCCGCTGGCCGAACGTCCCTTTCTTTGCCTTGGCTCGTTTCTGTCCTCCTCAATATCCTCACAAACACTCTTGTTTTCACACGCCCACCGCTGCGGCAGCGAACAATGTTGATAGACGGCGAGAAGTATGCTTGCGAGGCCTGTGTTCGAGGCCATCGTGTGAGCAATTGTCAACATTCTGGTAAGTCTCAATGCTTTTGGTTACACAGCGCACCGTACCCCTCCTTGCTTCATGGCAATACGGCACATGGCCGCCGCCAGCAGCAACAGTGACAGTCCACGATGTCCCACACTATTTCCATTGATAATGGAATAGTCTGGTTCTATGTTCTCACTTTCCTCTTCTTTTTCTGACTCTCTCTTTTTTTTTCCCCTTTTCATCTCGCGAGTCCTGTTTGCTAACCCTCGATTCGTCTAGATCGCCCGCTGCAACACATTAACAAGAAGGGTCGTCCTGTGTCGCAATGCCACCACTGCCGCACGATGCGAAAGTCACGCTCGGCCCATGTCAAGTGCGACTGCGGCGAGAAGACGAGCAAGTGTGCTCATTTGCAACAACCTGTGGATGGACACAAGGGTGAGCCTACATTATGGACTAGTCTAGGGTCGATTGTCCACCCTTCTTCGCAGCTCCCCGTTCTGACAAGATATGAAATCTATAGAGACCTGTTGCTGCAATCATGGTGGGCGCTGTACTTGCGCTCACAAGAAGGAACCTACCTTGGACACCGTTCCAGAAGCCGAATCGGATCGCGATCCCTTGGCCGCCGCCGCACGACCCAAGCCCCCAATCAGACGACGACGAGCCAACACTGTCCACTCAGACGGAGTTCTATCGTTTGACCAGAACGGCAATCACAAACCAGCGTCCAAGCACAATCGTGCCGCTCAAAAGTGCGGGCCATATCAGCTCAATCGGGTCAATTCCACAAACAGCGCCAGTAGTCTTGGTGCGAGTTCAGAGAGCATGCTATACCAAGACGGGCCGGCACCCGACTCCTTCAGCAACCGCTCTCGGGCTGCGACGGCTCGCGAACAACGGCGGGTCAAGTCGGAAACTGCTTCTCCATTGATGTCCAGTGGCAGCTTTCCCCATTTGCAGAGTGGACTTCCTCCCCTGGATCTGTCGGGCATCGAATATCCTTCATACGTTAACAACGGCACCTTTGAAATGTTCAGCTCAGGGGTTCCATCAGAAGTAGATGGACCAATTTTCAGTGCCGGCCTAAGTGCTGCTTCTGTTGACTGGAGTCATTACGACCTCGGTGAAGCTAAGCCGGAGAATTTTGCCCCGTCAAGCTACAGCCAAGCCGGTGCTCAGAGCTTCAACGGCCTCTTCGAATTCGGCAGTGGCTCGGAGCAGCTTCCCCGTCTCGCAAACACTACGTCAACATCGGGTGAAGTATCTGAAGTCGAGGACTTTTTAGGTAACGGAGATGGCGACATGGATAGCGGCTTCGGCACCAGCAGCTTCATCCGCCAGGCCAACATTGTTGGTAGCTCAACAGACCTGACCAGTATTGACTACGACAGCTTTTACAACAAGAATTCCGAGAATAATGTTGCGGTTGGAAGCATTTCCATGGTCGAAGAAGACCCGGCTTTCTGGATGCCCAACTATAATGAAGGCATCACCACTGCGGTGGATGAAAGCCCGGATCAAATGGCAGCGACTTCCATGGGAACATTTTGGGAACTATGAAATGAATCACGAAATAACACAAAAAGTTTGTCTTTTTCTTCGATTTCTCCTTTTCGGCATGCGAGAATACCCCGCCAGTGGTACAGCAACGCAGACAACATGGAATTCAGCGGATTTCTCGCTCCCATGACATGCGGCTTGCGGAGCACACACGATCTATATACGTTTATTTCTTCGTCTCAGATATGAGCTCTGGGCTTGGATTTTTTCTTGGTCTTTTTCTTTTCTTTTGAAGAAAGGCAAACAAAGAAAAAAAATCGGAGTGGCGCCTTTGCAATGTCTCCCCGGTTCTCCTCCATCATGGGACGCTCCCCCTCGAACTGCTGCGTGTGACGCACTGGAAACTGCCAGTGCAAAGCCTTGCGGGCAAGGTAGCTCCTGGTGCTTTGATTCCGTTTTTTTTTTTCCTTTCGCCTGGTGTTTCGGATAGACTACGAGAACCTATACTACGTCCTTGATGCGGTGCTGGGGAAAGACACGGGGAGTATGGTGTCAGGAGTATGGCTCTGTGTTGGCTCCTATGGACCCGGCAGCGTTGGAGCATGTGCTATTTCATTTTATGTGGCGTATATACATCAGTGTGATGGTTTTGTCTATTGCTTTTTTCACGTCGTTTGATACAGTCGCGCTGCGTCCTGTTACGAGCCCACGATGATGCATTGAGAAGGGCGAAATATACATACAAATATTACAGAAAAATTATGGCCAGGTGCAATTGGGTCTGATTCTGTTGAAAAGGGGCGGGACAAGGAGGGAGCATATTTACGATAAAAAAAACATGGATATATGAAATGTAGATAGAGTTTTGGGTGTCGCTGGGGATCCTTTCTTCCATTTGGCAGCACCCCTTATATTCGATGTGTGTATGTCCTCGGGCGTGTTTTGAACCATGGGAACCGGACGGCATATAGAGTTGCAGCTTGCAATAGACGGCGTTTTTGCTGGCTTCATTTGGAGCCAGATTCTCATCCACACATATATTATGCATGTCCCGGCCTTCTACTTTCGGTCAATGTGAATGAGCGGCAATGAGGCAGTCAAATGCGGGAAAGGAGGTTCGTCCAGAAGAGGGTGGCACGCAGACCGACAAAGATAGCCCTGATGACAGAGGGCGCCATCTCGGCCCTCACTCCGTGCCTCTTGCCCCCTTGCCCTAGTCGACCAAAAAAAAAAAATTCCAACGGGGAAACTGGGCACGTAGAGTGGGCCACGTTGGCCAGAATCAAGTTGCTGGTCGATCGTCTTGCATCCCCTTTTCGCCACGTTGTGATATGATTCATTGTACTCCGTACGTGGGCGGAGATGTGTATTGTGCATAGCAGATTAGGGTCTGGTGTTTTCTTCATCAAAAAAAGCCATGTCATTGCGGGGAACGAACAGCGGGGACCGTAAATCTTGTCCCCCCCTCGGCGGCTCTTCGGGCGGCAAACTTGATAAAAAAAAAGTAGACACGCCGGCTGGTGCGCATGTAATTGCTCTGCTGCAACACTGCTTCTGGTGTAGTTGTACATACATCCGAGGTTCCTGGTGGGTACGACTGTCTCCAAGGCTGGGTTCCATTGAAGGGTTTGTGTTTGCGTTTTCGAGGTCTTGGCGAGGTGTCACCGACAGGGTCTGCGGGGGTTCTCGGACGGTGGGCGCCCGCTTCTAGAAGGTTGGACGGAAGTTCAGGCAGGGGACATGGGTGTGTTGGGTCGGGGAGCCAGTTGGGCTGGCGGGGTTGGACATTGTTTCTGGGATTTGTGTCTTACGTATTTTTTTTTTCGAGGCAGATGGATGGATTGTTGGCCGTTTGCAAGCAGGGCTACGTGGACGTGGTATGTGACGTGTGTGTGAGTCCATACACGCCCGGCGCCCAGAGTGGTGACAGGCCCAGGGTATCAAGCAAGTGGTAGATGGGACGGGGCTAGATCGGGAATACTAGCCGCAAACTGATATATTTGAAACATCGGCGTGTGCGTCCCGCGCGTCAATCTGTCGGAGGCGACGTGATACTATATGCTGTGTCATGGTGGCCCAGTCATTCACGGATGAAGTGTTCCTGATATTGGCCTTGTGAAAAAAAGACACTAGAATTACATGACGTCTTTGACGCCAAAGCTGCAAGCCAAATCGGGACATGGCTCATCATGCCACCAGGGACGTATAATTAATCCATCTTGCAAGCTTTTGCCCACCTTCCAACTCCGTTGCGAATATTGTACAATGCTGAGGGGAAAAGTAATACAACTCGTCCTCAAGGCAGTGCGCCTCGGAGCACCCAGCCCACACACATGTTAACCTCACATACACGTCAAGATGAAAAAGAATACCTAAAAGTTGGCTTTACCGTTGCACTCGTCTCGTTATATGCTCATGATGCAACCTCCAAGTATCCGGTTGCAAGAGCGGCCCCAAAGGGAACCTCTTCTCCTGCTGCGAGACCCTCATGTGCTGTTGCTAGATCTGCAAGGTGCTGTAGTCCTTGGCTGGCTGCCGTTTCGGCCGCAGAAGACGATGCCGGTCTTAGCCCGTCCGCAAGCTTGTCCTTGACACCATCCCAATGACCTCCGCTAGGCTTCTCTGTGATTTCTCTGATGATTTCAACCGCTTCATCCCGCGTGGCCTCCGTCCTAGCCAACTTGCTCAGTGCCATGGTGGCAAGCGAGACGAAATGGCTGGATAACGGGCCCTTCAACTCGGGCGTCACAGACAACAAGTGGGCCAGCTCCTTTGTTGGCCAGATAATCTCTTTCGGCGTGGCGCCAGGGGTGAGCATGGTGACAAGGAGGCGGCAATGCCAGTAAGCAAGGTGAATCATGGGATACGCTGCTGCATCAATATGCGCAGGCAGGTCTTCCCGGTAGTTCTCGATATAGTCGGTCAAGATGGCAGCCATTGAGGCATCGGCAGTATAGGACCCAGCCTGCAATGTTGATATGACAAAAGAGATTCGGTTCAAAAGTTTTGATAGGCCTGCAGGAGCTGGTCAGTGCTGTTCCGACTGTTCCAACTGCACACACACACAAATTGAAAGTGGACTTACGAAGGAGGTGGAATGAGACCTCTCCAATTATGTTCTCGAGGCCCGCCGGAACGACAACACTCCTGTCGGGAATTTGCGCAGGCTGGCCAGTTCCTGCAGCATGCCATCTGTCCATCAGCACCAATGACCACCATATTCGGACACACAGCAGGTCATCAGAGTCGTGTTCTGTCGTCAAGTCAACAGGCGAGGATTTCCACAGCTTCATTGAGTTGGCAAGAGCTACGGCACGAGCGAGAAGAAAAGGCAGACTCGAAGTTCCCCGCCAATCTGCATCAATGATCAGGATCAGCAACGTCTGTGCGTGGACAATATCAGTGGCGCGGCTGCTCGGAGCGTCGCTGCTCTCCCATTCATGAAGCAGGGAACTGGCAATCTTGGAGTTATCAGACGATGGCTGGCCAACACAAGACAGAGCTAGGGAAAATGCGGATCGAACTGCTGCGTTTGCCTGCGATAGCAGTGATTGAAGCCTGCCCAGATCGGTCGGAAGCACCGGGTAAAGCGGTTGAACGGAGGCCAGGAATCTGGAACATGTCAGTTGGTCATCGTGCCAGCACCAAGCAAAGTCACACAAGCACGTACTCCAGGAAGGCCTGTTCATCTACTCCAGGGACCTCTTCTCCGTCTACCATGGGTACATCTGCCGGTGCAGCATGTGGCTTTGTAGGAGTCTCATCGGGCTTGATTGGTGTTGGTTGGGGTGCCAATGAACTGTTGCTGTACTCTTGACTGAGACCTTCTCCCTGTCCGGACGCCGGCTGGGCTGAACGCGCCTCGGATCCCCAGGGTGCTTGGCGTACGGTAGTTGGTGTGGTATAGTCTCCGGTAGATATGCTAGAAAAGGGCCGTTTTCGTGTGGAATCTTCGAGGCCATTGATATGCCTTGACCGATCCGTCGCAAATAACTTGTCAATGTCGTCTTGGCTAAGATTACCCTCCGATTCCAACTTGTTTTCGATGCTGTGGATTCGGTCTGCGAGTTCCTTGATATATCTAGAGTATGAATTAGCTAAACAAGCAATAACATAGTCTGGTGAGTTTTGGCCTCCATACCCTTTACTAGGGCCACGCTTTTGGGGTACTCTACTAAACAAGCATCTGATAGATGACCGCGCGCAACTGGAGCATGGCGTCTCGCCAGAGTCAGACTGTGCATCGCATTTGATCTTTTTTCTTCTACATTCGTCACATGCGCGCGACACCTTGGACCTCTTGCGCGGCGGAATGCCATCCCCCATGGCGTATTGCGGCGGCAGGGCAGGCCCAACCGCAACGGGCATCTGATGTTGAACCATTGGGTCAGTCGCAGGAGCTTCTTGGACATAGGGTGTTGTGTGGTGCTGGTCGGGATCTGGGTGTGGCATGATGTTGCGCATGTTGGGGTCCTCGACAGTCATGTTCGGATCGGTAGCTGGGAGCATCGAGGTGCCAGCCAGGCCTTGGCCCAATTGCGCTGCCAACTGCAACTCTTCCAGGTTTGCCGGCCTAGATACGTGGTGCTGAGATGCAGTATCGTCTTGACCCGACATTTGTGCCTGCTCATGCTCCTGTCCATGCACCTCATCAGCAACCTGCTGCTCGGCTTGATCATGGTGTTCTGGAGCACCATCGCGACCGTTGTGGTAGAATGGGCCAGACTCCATTCCTTCTGCTCCAGGAGACGGGTAGGTCAAGACAGCCGCATCTCCGGCGTCGCCTTCTCTGCCTGGGCTCATGTCGATGCAACGCGTGTGATATCAACGCAAGTAACAGTTTCGCGACTTCAGTCGGCCAAACATGGGGTGGGTGGCTGTGGTGGTCCTATTCACTAGCACAGCAAAATATTGATGTTCTAAAAGAAACTTTGATATCGGTGTAACTATCGATCAGGGCACATGGACCTTGAATTGCCAATGCATGGGCATCCGAGGCGCCAGGCAGTCGGTCAACAGGCGCGTTCAAGTACACTGAAGCCATTGTTAGCGTGGTCGCGCAACCAGCATGATTCCACCGCGAAACAGCAAATTCCAAATTGCAGCACAGCGACACTCAACACGCGACCGAGTCGGTGGGTGAGGGCTGATGTGTTGCCATTAACAGCTAAAGGTATGATGCATCAACTTACAGCTCCAATAGCTCCCTGGATCGGAGGATGATAAATGCGATGGGCCCGTCGCGCAACGGAAGAGGAAGAACTCGGCGCCGTGGTTGTGTATGGTTTTGACCCTTTGAGATCGAGCACGGAGATGGAAGAATTTTCGGGAGGAGCGGCAAATCATCGGCTTAACTGCCGGGGCCGCCTACCTAGTAGGTGGCTTACTGTGCATCTGCGCATCTGGGTTCCGAGATACCCAGACCAGGGTAAGTTATGTTTTCTTTTTTGGCACAAGCCCTGGCTCCACATCGCCCCGGCAAGTTGGCGGCCAAGTTTAGCCCTTTTGCTTGCGTTGGAACAAGACAGCCAGCCCCCATCTCTCGAGCTAGAAACTACGAGGGCGTCGAGGATGAGTACATAAAGTACTACATAAACAGCTAGATGGCTTTTGTCTGTCCGAGGTTGCAGTCGCATTTGCAGGCTCCATTGTGATTGGTGTGATTAACGGGCGCATCAACGCATGTTCCAGCCATCCTTTGGTTCACGATTGACGACTTGACGGTGCCGTGTCCATATCCTTGTGCGTCCAGAAATCCCCGGCGATGCTGATGACTGGAGAAGTTCTAGCATTGCACGGCCTGGTTCGAACCGATTGGATAGCTCGATCCAGCCCCATCGGCGCAATCTGCGTTCGCCCTTCACCGTCCCCATCTCTCTTGGCAAGTCTCTCCAAGCCAGATGCCTCATGTTCCACTACTTCCACAGTCCAGTTCTCTTCCAAGTTTCCTCGTTTTCTCGTTTCCTCTTGTTCGGGTGGCCTGCCTGTCTCCTTGCCGCAAGGCGGGAGTGTGACTGTCCAGGCGCTATGAACGCTCTGGCAATCAACACGCAACAGCCTGGACATGAAACATGACGACGTTTATCTAGCATCAACCCGTGTCAACACGCAGTTGGGTTCCTCGGAAAACACGCAGAACCGAAAAAAAAATATCCCTCGCCATCGAATTATCACACGATGGATATTATCGCATTGCAAAATTGGGCATATATTCCAGATCTGCCAGACGATATTGGTCCCATCCGCAACCTGCTCCTCGTGTACAGCAAGATCCCTGCAAGGGATATTGACAGCCACATTCTACGAGTGGTGAGTGTGCTCTACCAAAAAGCCCAATAGATGCTCGTTAGCTGATCAGTGACAACCCGATGCCAGCGCGAGGATGCGTGGAGAGTATCAAGATTCCCTTGTGTCGGCCGGTGGAAATTTCTACGCTTAACCGAGCAAGACGATCCCTGTTATCGGCAGGTGCTGTTCAGGCTCAATGTTCCCAGATCGAATGATGCCTTTTTGGACCTGGGTTGTTGTGTGGGACAGGTTCTTCGTCAGCTCCGTCATGATGGAGTGCAAGGAAGTCAATTATTCGGGACTGATGTTCAGTCCAAGTTTGTTGAGATCGGCTATGATCTATTCCAGGATCAAAACGAAATCGGTGCCACTTTTGTTGTTGGCGACATGCTGGACCCCGATGACACCCGGCTAGATGACCTGTTGCACAAGGTTACCATCATATACGCAGGCAGTTTTTTCCACTTGTTCAACTGGACTCAGCAAGTCTTTATTGGCAAACGGCTCGTCGGATTTCTCAAGCGCGGTACCAAAAACGCCCTCATCTATGGCCGGCACATTGGCACCACTCGACCGGGTCCATCTCCATTGAGCAATAATAATATGTCGCCATATCTCCACGACAAGGACAGCTTTCAGCGCCTTTGGAACGAGGTTGGGTACTTGACGAATACGAAGTGGACTGTGGAGATAGAACCTGCCGGCGAAAAGATTGTTGATGTACTACGAATCGATAGGGATGCTCAGCCGGTCAACTTTGTCATACACCAAATATCATGACGGGGTTGGCGGCGAGTCAGGACTCAGGAGGAGACAATTTAGATTTCGTCTATAGGCATACAAGTATATAGATTTCCGGTATATATATTGATGTTTGAAATAACCACCTCCCAACGAGTATTGTCCGCCTTGTGAGCGGGTAATGTCCTCGGCGAAGTGAATATCGAGAGGTGAAGCCCTGCAAGTCCGTAGTAATGAACTGGAGGTTGAATCGCGGAGCGAATCACCTAGTAAGCTCTCAACCTGTGCCAGTCTCGGGACATTAGCCAACGGCGCATCCCCCCACCCCCCTTTCCTTCCAAAACCTGGGAAAAAAAAAAAAAAAAAAAAAAATCCCCCCTCGGTGGGGGGTT